GGATACCACAAAATGTAATGTTTTAGTTAATGGAAGTATAAAATAAACTCCAAGTGTTTGTTGAATCTATCGTTTTGAAGGAATACACATCCTACAAAACTAGTTTCAATGATCCAACCGTCAAACTTGTTTGTATATACTCTAAGATCATATATGTAAAAAATCGCAAAAAACAAACATTTAGTTATTAGGTAATGGGACAAAATTTTCAATGGTTATAAACGAAAACTTACGATTTCACGGTTATTTTAAATCTAATTTTTCTGATTTTTTGCAACTACACTCTTCAACCTTATAAGAGTACGACCAACAAATTCAATCTTCAATTTACTACCCTAAAGTTTCTTGGTATTCAACATTTGGTACATAAAGTTTTTTTCATCCCAGAGTGGTACATAAAGTTATAATTTTGGGACACTTTCCTACATCCGTTAAGGTTGTTGTTAAATTTATCGTTAATTAATAACGTGACATCCACATGGATAATAATTGGACGCTACGTGGATATTAAAAAAAATATAATAAAAAAAACTTTTGATCTTCTCCCTCACCCCTTCCGACCCGCCTCCCTTCTTTCCTCTGCACCCACCGCCTGGAGAAACCAAATCCATGAAAAGCCTAACAATCAAAACCCACATTTCTTAAACCAAACAGACTAAAATTTCAAACAAAACCCTAGCTCAGAACTACACAAAAAAGACTAGAAATTCAAACACACCCATCTCAGAACAACAACGACAACCACCACTTGTCGAAAACGGAGCACCTTGAGATTAGTTGGGCAGAGCTTGATTGCTTCCTCGGCATCAGTAGGAGCGCGTCTGTAGTTACCGAGCAAAAGATTGACATGGGTTTGACTTGAAAAGAGAATTGAGGTGTCAGAATCACTCAAAGCTTGCTGATTGATTGCCCTCGTGTAGCAATCTATGGCTTTAGAGAAATGCTTTTTACCCTTTTACACACACTTGTTCCCCTTTTCCTACCAAACCCAGAATATGAGAGAGAAAAAAATCCCTATATCCGCCCGGACCAAACCCTATGCGTTTAGATCTGGGCCGAATCGGAACATACAAGAAAAGACAAGGACCGTAGCAGCGCCTAGGAACCAGAAGAACGATTCCGTTTCATCGCCACTGAAGGTTGAAGAAGACATTTTGGTCGATTTACAGACATATATTCTTTGATCGGATCTAGCTTTTGATGGATTAGGTTTCTCCAGCGGTGCCACCGGGCCGAAGAAATGGGCGGAGACATGGGTCCAAGAGGAGATTTGGAGCCTGATAGGGTTTAGGAGAGATGTGGACTTGGAGGATGCCATTGATAGAGAGAGATGTGGGAGGGAGAAAGAGAGAAATGGAATGGGTGGAGTCGAAGAGGGAGGGGGAAGGGTAGGGGTCGGAAGGGGTGAGGGAGAAGACCAAAAGTTTTATTTTATTTTATTAATTTATTTTTATTTTTTTTAATATCCACATGGCGCCAATCATTGTCCATGTGGATGCCACCTCATCAGCTAACGGTAAATTTAACAGCAATCTTAACAGATATATGAAAGTATCCCAAAATTATAACCTTATGTACCACTTTAGGATGAAAAAAACTTCATATACCAAATGTTGAAAACCAAGAAATTTTATGGTAGTAAACTAAGATTAACCCTACTATTTTAATGTTATGAGTTAACAAAAGCGTGCAAATTATTTCTTTATTATAGAATACTATATTAAGTTATGCATATTTTTGCTCAACGGTTTTATTTTTAATTTTATGGTCCAATCTTCTCCATATGTATTCCAAGTTATATGATCTATTTATTGTAGAATTTAAATTAAGAATCAAACTTATTTCAAAAATATTCCAACGACACATGTGACAATTGTTAAATAATTGGTTCCAACAAAACCATATGCCTTAAAAATTTATTCTGACAAAGAAAAAATTTTGTCGGAAAACCCGACAACAACTAATCACCCTCGAAAATATAAAAGCATTACTGAGAAGACTTTTTTTCCCTCAAAAATATAAAAACATTATCAAGAGGACTTTTTTTCCTTCAAAAATACTAAATCAATTTCGTCAACATGAGTAAACCTTTGGAAATAACCATTCTATTTCCGATAAGAACTTTACTTGTCGTTAATACAACTGACGCCAATTCTTCCAGCCAAACAAAAGTGCATTTCCAACGAAACTTGAAACTTTTTCCGAGGACATTATGTGTGTTGGTAATAAAAATTTGTTTCATGCCATGTTACCGACAATCCATATTTTAAGGTCACAAAATGTGCTTTTTATGACGGTTTTTTAGGATCCTCAGAAAATCTTTGTCGGTAATGACTAATTTTTTTGTAGTGTGAATCGAATCCTAGGTGGCCACAGGAGAAGAACTCATGCAGTGTTCCCAACGAACTAGGGTTCAATTAAGCTTCACGCCCCCATCAACGACCTTTCCAGATCGGCAATGAAAACCACGTCTATCAGAAGAATCTGAACCAGAAGCGGCCAAAACTGGTTCATCGTGCAGCTTTCACCATCGCCCCATTACGCCGTTTCTAAACAAGTGTTGGCATGAATCGACATGGTGGGGAAAATCATGCCGCTTCTGAAAAAGTAGAAGGACGCCGATGTTCAGGTATGACACCGGTGAGATTCATCATATTAACAAGGAAGGGTGGCTCAACTGAGTTGGGATCTGGAAGAAGGTGGCTGGCAGGAGTTGGTTCGATGATTGATTACGCTGATGAGTTGAAGGAGGAAGATGATGTTTTTATTAACTTCATTTATTTTAGGGTAAATTATATTTAGGGTAATGGGTTTCACTACTATTATGTTAGCTTTTAACGGACTAATGAATAGAAAATATAACGGATGTATTATATTGAAATAAAATAGTACATGAGATACGAACGTAAATTTTTTTAAAGATGTTGTATAATGTTACAATAGACTTCAAATCTGAAGTGATAAAATGTAATTTACCTTTTTTTTTTCATCACATAATATGTTATAGGGTTCACATTTTTTTATTATATTTTATAAGTCACATCATATGACAATTAATGATTAAATTCTTTCTTTAATAATTTAAAAGAATTCAAATATTAACCATTACATCGTATTTCTCTCTAGCATAATCCTAAAAAGTTTGTATAGTAAATTGTTCGACAGCTTTATACAGTGTGACCACAAGTTCTAGCCAGAAAGCTCTGCCTCTATAAAGAGAGAGAGTCTAGTGTAGTGTTAGTCAACAATAATCGTATAGAAAGGAGTGCTCCATTTATGATCCTATCCCGTGAAGTGTCCAAATCACTTCTTTAAATATTTACCAAATTTATTTTATATACTTACAAAAAAAAAATCACTTTTTTAAATAGATGGTTGAAGCCTACTTTGTCGATTTTCTATTAGGATACGTTTGTTGCACTGAATTATTTCAAATTGGATTAATTTAAGGGACTAAGTCGAATTGACTTGGCTTTTAGACTAAGTAGGAGAAGAATAGTGAAGTGTTTGGTACAGTGGAAGATTAAACTATGGACTAAAATATTTTTAGAACCCAAATTATTTTTTTTATCATTTTTAATTTACTTTTACCTTAAAAAACTAAAAAGAACTGATATTTGTTATAAAATATTATATTGTAGTTATTTAATTTTTAAAAACCTAATTATGTTTCAGGTTTGCAAATTCTCTCAACCTTTATTTTAATTAGAAGAATAGACCAACTTTTTTTATTGCAAATCCTCTACCTCTTCACTTCATCTTCTTCGCCTCCTACCTCTGCACTTCACCTCTCCCTCCTGCCTCTTCACTTCCTCTCACAAAATGAATTGCAAATCTTAAAATCAAAACATTGAGTAAGAAAGAGATTGAAGGAGGTGGCTACATGTGTGATTGGCTCAAAGGTGGAGGATAAGGGTTGGATTTGGTTTGGGTTTTCTGGGTGCATGTGTATGATTGAAACAACCATGATCATCCCATTGCATTTTTTTTTTTTTGGATTTCCTGGGTTTTTTGGGTTCAAATTTTGGGAGTTGGTTTTGGTTTTGAATAGGGAACCGCTGCAAATTTTTTTCATTTTTTTTTAATTTTGCGAGATCTGGGTTTGAACAGTGTTGTGGGACACGAGATAGAAGCAGATGGGAGGAACGAAGCAGGGAGGGGGTGAAGCGATCAGATTTGGCTTAGCAATCTGGCCAATTTTGCGGGGGGGGGGGGGGGGGGTTGCCTCACTAAGACCCTTCAACGAAGCTTTTAGTCCGACTTAGTCTAGGTGAGTCTCATAAAACATAGTCCTGGCATGAAACAAACACGGGACTAAGATAAGGTGTAATCCAGTCTAGTCCAAGGAAGTTTAGTGAAGCCAAACAAACAGCCCCTTAGTTCTTATGCCTAATCAAAATTCAATCTTTATAAACCAAGATTAGTCATAATTATTTGTAATTTGTTTTTGGGTCGAAAAATAATTAATTGTAATTAACCACCTCAATAAATTTACGAATAATGTTAGAGAGACAACTATATAGACTAAAATTTACAAATCATATGATTTAATTATTATTTAAGTATTGATTCTAGTACTTATTTTCTATTCGTAATATATCACATAATTTATAAAAAAAATTTGAAAAAAGGAAGACAAATGATGGCAGACCACAGTTATCCATCCATTCTAAGGGCCGGAAAGATTCACAAAAGCATAATTTATAAATTTGGCAATCTACCTAAAAACAAAAATTAAAGTCACTCAGTATTATGGTCTGGTGGTATTTCTCTTCATTTGTAAGTGGGAAATCTTAGGTTTGAATCTTGTGCATGCTGAATTCGATACTAAATTAAATTACCCATTATTTAACTTAGCTGAACTCCCCTGTCTCTTAGTGTAAATTATATCGTTTTATTTCAAAAAGTAAAAATTAGAAGAAAATTTTTAAAAGAAGGAAGGAAAAATGGACCCCTCAGAAAACCAAAATCAGAGGAAAATTTTTAAAGGAAGAAGAGAAAAAAGAAAAGCAATCAAATTGTCAGGCCACAGAAGCAAGCAGCTTTATCTTGTTTTTCTTTTTACGAGCTCTCTTCCAACCGCTTTCATGGTAATGATTCGTTCTATTGCCAATATTTCTGAAATCTTCTCTCTCCTCCCTCCCTCTCTCTCTTAGTTCCATTTCTCAGAACCCCAAAACCAAAACAAAACAAAACCTTGAAAACCTCATAACGAGGAAGCTTTAAAAATCTTTTTCATTTTCCCTCTCTCTTTGTTTATGTAGAATCTTTGTTTTTTCTCAGACGTGGTGCAGAAAGTTGTCTGTCTCAGATCCCAATATACGGCTCTCGGCATCTTTCTTACACCATTAACGATTTTAAACTGTACTCAAAGCCTATATCAAGCACTTTCTCTCTCTACACTGTTATACACCATAACGGCATAGAATCCCGTTCTCAAAACTCAAGGGTTTTCTACTCTCTCTGTGGTCCTCGAACCAAGCTCTAAATTACCCTTTATAATTCTCCTCTTTCTCTACAAAACCCATCTCTCAGAATTTCCAACAGATTTGGATCGAGTCGTCGAGAAATGCAAGAATCCGGGTTGGGGATGATGGGTGGTGGCGGCATCGACGGTCATCATGACCAGCATAACAGGCAGCTCAAGGCTGAGATAGCCACACACCCTCTCTACGAGCAGCTCCTATCTGCTCACGTGTCCTGTCTTCGGGTGGCGACGCCAATCGATCAGTTGCCGCTCATAGACGCTCAGCTGTCTCAGTCGCACCACCTCCTGCGCTCTTACGCTTCTCAGCAGCAACATGGCCACTCAGTCTCCCCACACGAGCGCCAAGAGCTTGACAACTTTTTGGTTAGTCCGTTTTATTAATTTGTTACTGTCTAATTAATATATTTCTATTTTTGTTTTTTTTTATCTGGTTTAATTTGTTGAGTAATTGAATTTGTACTTGTTTGGTTTTATTAGCTAATGATTTACCTTTTTTCTTTTGGTTAATGGGGGTTTACTCATTGTTTCTGCAGGCACAATATCTGATAGTTTTGTGCTCTTTCAAAGAACAACTTCAACAACATGTCAGAGTCCATGCGGTTGAAGCTGTCATGGCCTGCCGTGAAATCGAAAGCAACTTGCAGGCTCTCACTGGTATGGCCCCCCTCTATTTTTCTCAAAATTTCACCTTCCTAGCTATTATGATTAATTTTTTCAGACCGTGAATCTCAACTACTAATCGTGTTGAGTTACACCGAAATATTTGGTTTAACTCGTAGTTTAACAATACAAGTTTGATAAGAAAACATTAAACATCGTAATATATGCTTGAGATGGAAGTGTTTAGAATATGAGTTATGAATGTTGTTTTTATCATCAATTGGTGTTAGAAATGTTTAGGATATTTGTTTAGTTTTGTCATTGGGAATGAAATTTGCTTCTGTTTTCTGTGCTGCGATGTTTTGTGATGTTTTAATGTGTTTGGTAGGCATAAACGACCAGCTATTCTGGGGTTCTGGAAGTTTGAGTGCTGTCCTTGTAAGGAGTGGGTGCGGTATAGGGTAGGGTCTACGAAAACTAATCAATCAAAGTGTAGTGTTGGCTAGGGGTTGGCTAATTAGGTTGAAGGGGCACAGAAGATAACGGTCATACTGTCACGTATAGTATTAATCGACGTATTGTAATATGAGTAGACAAAATATTGTTATATCATAAACTTAAGATGTAATCTACAAATATATATATATATATATATATATGTAATATACATGTTATAACATGAATAAATTGATAACTTGATGTAGCGTTTAGCGTCTTAATAACAAGATGGAGAAACTTATGGACCCTGCCAAGAGTAGTCTCCATGACCTAACTGACAAGGTTGCAGCAGAATATTTGGTTCTAGAATACTTTGATTTTGATGATTGCAGTGATTAATATATTTTTTTTCGTTGGGAATATAATATAGAGATCATGAACTTGTTTATTTGTTGGATTATCCATATGTTGGAAGTTTGGTGATTAATTTGGTGGTGGAGTATCAGTAAGTGCACGTAACCACTCATATTTTAAATTAATGATGATTAAGTAGAAGGGTTTGATTTATGGGGGATCTGCTAGGTGGAGACGCTAACTGAAACTGTTACAAGGTCTTTTCACTAAATTAATTAATTAATAAAAGAATATTGCTTACATTCCCCTTTTGAAAAAATGAACTTATTCTCTCGCTTGCAAATTACGTATTTTAATGTTAAAATTTTATAATCGGAATTGTTAAATCTTGATTAAGCCTACAAAGAATCATTCAATTTGGAGATCTTTCAGTCATTTATATATATAAAACAAATGGACAATTTATCACGATCAAAAACGTTGATTGGTTTAACTCGTATAAATGACTTAACGATCTCCAAAGTAAATAATGTTTTGCATATATGATCTTTTGATAATGATAAAAAGAATGAACTATTCTGATTATGACATTCAGAAAGTAAAGATTCATTAATCGTAAGTAAGAGATATGTAAGTCCTCCCATAAAGACGACACAAGCATTATCCTTCTTATTTTCTTTTTTTTATTTTTTATTTTTTATAGAATTTATGTCTGATTAATTGGTTGTTAGGGTTGGGGACAGAACTTGTGAATTGCATATAAAAGTTTGACTAGTATTTTCGTGGTCATGCTAAATGGTTAATTGAATTATCCTAAATAGACTTTGTGTGTTTTCCTTAGTTTAAAGTGATGACTAGATGTTGATCATGATGTGGGGGAGGATACTATAATAATATAGAATACAGGGTACACTTTGATCTAGGGGTTAATAAAAAAGAGTTTTGGTTGATATCAAGGTAAAGAAAATGACAAATTAGTAAGCAAACATGGAAGAAGACAAATTATTTAGTGAAATATACTATCAAATATTGAGGAGTATATCTAGCTAGGTTTACCAAAGGCCTAAGAGAAAAAGAGAAGAATGATCCTACACTGTTGTTCTTTGTTCAATTCTTGGAGGCTTGCGGAATCTCAAGGAGCTTGTTTGAAAGTACTTTAAAAATGACAAAACGTTTTTGGAGAAAATGTTTTTGGGTTCTATAAGCACTTGAAGTGCTTTATGTAAGGAACACCAATTATGTGCTTCTTCCAGGAAGCACTTGAAGTGTTTTTTCTGAATTTACTTGTATTTTTCTTATTAGATTGGTTCCAAAACCATTTTCATCAAAAGCGCTTTTATCCCCTTTAAAAGCACTTCCAAACAAGTTCATAGTATATGTGCCTTATAGCTACAACTCAGACAAAAAAAAAAAAAAATTTGGAATTGGACATCTATTTTGTCATATAACATATATAAAATCTAGTAAGTTATCTAGTTTAATTCCTGCATACGATCTTAACGTGACATTCCAAGGGAAAAGATAACTTGCTTTAAAAAATAAAAGTACAATGTAACACAAGTTGTAAACTTTCATCTATCGGATTTGAACTTGAGGTCTCATTCAAATTATTATGCTTTAGTGTGTGTGTGTGTGTGTGTATAGATAGTGTTATTGGTACTCCAAAAATCTAATTCTACACTCCTCATAAGTGTATTTTTCTTTCTAAATATAGAAAGTTTGAGAATTTTGGAGTGCCAATAACAATTCCCTATATATATATATATGATACTTTTGGTAAAAAGAATAATAATAAAGAAGAATTCATATATGTTGCGGTAAGTCTAGAATCAAGGACTTGACTGGTTTCTTTAGCCAAAGTAATTAAGGCTCGTTTGATAATCTTTAGTTTTTGGTTTTAATTTTTATGCTTGAGATATGGGTAAAGTATACAGGGTAAATTAAGGAGGTATGAAGGGTGACGGGTGATACTTTTGAAAGTGAAAACAACTTGAAATAAGTTACTTTTTTTTGTTTTCATTTTGTGTGTCTTTCTTTGTACATTTCTTTTACATTTCTCTCGCTATCCTCCATCCACTATTCTTCATCCCTTATTTCTTTTATGTATTTGTCCTCTCTATCCCTAACGCAAAAAGTGAAAGGTGAAAATGAAAAAACAAAATGGTTATCAAATAGTCTCGGTTAACTCATTTCTGATAACTGTTTAGCAAAACATTAGGCTTTGTTGAAGCCACCTGAGCCCAACTTTGGTTTAGACTTCCAGTATGTTCCCAGCCCAGTTACTTATAGGCCCAGCTCACCGTTCTTGGTTTCAGTTTCTTGTCACTCACGCGAACTCATTTTAGTAAGGTTGAGGAATGAACAGGGAGAAGTAGGAGTTGAAGCATTTATTCTGTTCTTTCCATGGCAAATACAAAGTAGAATTAATCACTTGTATTCGAGGCTTATTTTCTGTCTCATCTCTTTTCAGGAGTAAGTCTGGGTGAAGGTTCGGGTGCAACAATGTCCGACGATGAGGATGACATGCAGATGGATTTCCCTATGGATCAATCCGGTGCCGAAGGGCATGACATGATGGGATTTGGCCCTCTACTCCCAACCGAATCTGAGCGATCACTAATGGAAAGAGTTCGACAAGAATTGAAAATTGAGCTGAAGCAGGTACAATTTATAGACACATAAAAGTTACACCATTGCTGCAGTTATGTTATTATGCTTTCGGGAAGTGAACTGAGTTTTCGGTTTCCTAAATATATAACAAACTTGCATTGTTAAATATTTGCAGGGTTTTAAGTCAAGAATTGAAGATGTAAGAGAGGAGATTTTGAGAAAAAGAAGGGCAGGCAAATTACCTGGGGACACAACTACAGTGTTGAAGAATTGGTGGCAGCAGCATTCCAAGTGGCCCTACCCAACTGTAAGCAAGAAACTTCACCTTTCATACTTTGCAATTTTTCTTCAATACAACGTAGTACCGAATCCAAACCCCATACTTTGATTTTTTTGCACTCCATACATATTTACCATTCTGCTTAATTTGTATATACCCAACAAAGTAAATGTTACAGAAATGATGGAAGAATTTTGGGAGATGGTCTTGAATAACACTATTACTATATATAGTGAATCAACAGTATCGACAATATACTGACAGCATATTAATTACCATCGTTGATTCGTTATTATGGGACGAATAGTGACATTATCAACAACATATCCAGATGATACTAATATAATAAAAGTATTTGCTACGATGAATAGTGTGGTATTTGAGAAAATTGCTATATCATGCTGAGATGATATCGATCTAATTGGATTGTTTGCTATAACAATAGTGTCATTTGAGAGCACTACGATGATAGTGTAATTCTGTTGAGAGTATCAATCCCACGTTGAGGAAAGAAGGGACCTTGCACTATATTTCCAATTGGTTTTAAGGTGGAACCTCAATTTTCTTGAGATTCCTTCAAGAATTAATGAAAGATTCATATGATATATGCAGGAAGATGACAAGGCAAAGCTTGTGGAGGAGACAGGGTTGCAGCTAAAGCAGATAAACAATTGGTTCATCAATCAAAGGAAGCGCAACTGGCACAGCAACTCTCAATCAGTCACCTCCTTGAAGTCCAAGCGCAAACGATAGATGACAAACCATAACAACCGTTGGATCTTGTTTGATAATCAGAGAAACTGATGAACTCACTTCTGTGTCTGATGATATATATGGCTGTTGAATTGTGTGGCATTGGGGAAGTATGTATAGTCTAATTAGCCAACACTTTTCAAACAGAAATTAAGTAACAAATGGCCAACTAATTACATGTAAAACGTTGTATAAATTCTTGTTTTCGATCGGCTGGGTAACGATCCTTCATCTTTATGTACTATATTTCATTTAATTTTGTCTAAGTTTGCTTGCGAATGTAGACTACTTGCTGATCTATTCCTGTAAAATTGCTGCAACATTTTCTAAAGGTTTACATTGGAGCAACATTTTGAAATTCACAAATATGAATGCTGAATGATAGTGTGGGGTAAAAACTCCGAGCCCCGAGCTAGGACCAATTTCAGGCTAGTACTAGTGTTCACATATATCATTTATTACGTTTATGTAAGGAGTGTCACACCTTATATTAATAATAAGCGGAGAGATGCGTCACAGTGTCACGACTAGAACATGAAGGATGTACAATCACTGCAGGGTATAAAGTTCAAAATGCTCTTACATGCACACACAACCACAAGCTCTTAAAACTTCCAAATTTGAGGTTTAACAATTGAATTGCTAAGTATGCACGCACATGTATATATAGGTGCAGTGCAAGAATAGCACCAAACCAATTGGAAACAAACACAAGCTAATTGATAAGAAATATACCAAATGAAATGTGATAACAAAATAGGAAAGACACTAAGATCTAGGGAGGTTCCTCAATAGTCAGTGTAAAAGAGTACGTCATCGGAGCAGTAAGAGCTCACCAATAATTCACTATCAACCAAATGGGTGTGTTTACAAAGTATTTGACAATCTCACAACCCAAAGCTCCTATACACAGTGCGCCCAATAACTCTCACACACCAAAGAAACAAATAGAGGTTCCTCTCTAAACAAAACTAACAGATGATATACTAACTATAACTTTGATGGAGTGATTACCAACAAAGGAGGGAGCAGCAAGTTTCTTCTTCTCAAGATTGAGGCTGTCGGCTCTGTTCTCTCTCATCTGAAAACAAGGGGCATGATTAATGTTTAACATACACTTCGTCCCTTTAGGGTAGATAATAATTTGTTAAATAAAAAAAGCATGATGCCTTATATAAGGGCTGCTGCAGCCAATTAAACCCTAGTCACTCATGTGACTTTCACATGGGCAACTAAAGACCCATTTAATTTGGGCTGCTAGGCTCACAAAATGCAAAAGGCCAATTAAGCCATAAATTCAACAATAGACACTGGAATTCTTAAGGAGGTAAATATGCTTTCATGTTTTGACGACAAACTAATTTTTGTCCTTATAAGCTGCACGTTAAGAATTCAAAAGCGTCGGAAAAGTAGGAGTTGGAGTGCTCCACTACGGAAGAGGATCCACTTCGGATTTACTTTATAAGGATTCTAGGGATCTTCATAACTTAACCATTCATCGTATATTATACGGTCAGTTTTCGTTAGGTATTATTTGTGTTTAATTTTAAATAAAAAAAGTCAAATGATTTTTGACCACACGATATATGATGAATGGCTAAGATGTAAGAATCAGAATATCAGTTTTCGTTAGGTATTATTTGTGTTTAATTTTAAATAAAAAAAGTCAAATGATTTTTGACCACACGATATATGATGAATGGCTAAGATGTAAGAATCATTCTGATTCTTACAATTTAGATCTGGATGGGATCCAATTCCCTCCACTACATAAAATGTACAACATAAAAACTAAAAATAAAGGAGCAAGTAACTTATAACTCAACTTATAACTCAAATGATTTGAACCTAATTAACCTGGGGTGTTGAGTTTCATGATTCTTCGAAAGATCAACTGAAAATCATCTTGTATGCAAGTGTGACATGTGTGGAGAAGAACCTTCTAGCTAGCATTCCATCCATATTTTCATCAAATTCGTTTTTACAATCTGTTTTTATTACAATCTGTCTTCTTTATTTTAATTTCGTCAAAACTAAATCCCCCTTTACTTTAGTGTTTCAATTTAGTTAGAAAGTGTCTTAGTTTGTGTTTCTAAGTGTTTTGATTCAAGTTATAACCCAAATTCGTCCAAATTAGTGTTAGGTGTTCAAAACTGCCCAAATTGTGTTTTTAAGGCAGTTTTGAGTGTTTTGTTGCTGTTTTGAGTCTTTTGGTTTGTTTTAGTGTTTTAGTGTTTAGTTTTGCATTCTTTGAGTCTAGTTTAGTGTTTTAACCTTTGTTTTACGTTTTTGAGTCAGTTTTCAAGTGATTTAGCAATCCCTCCTAATCCCCGGTTTAGAACGATCCCTACTTATACACATACTACAATTGTCAAAAGAGGGTTTTAATTTGTGTGCTTATATATTTCGCATCACTCGCTCTCTTTAAGGAGATTTAAACCCATTGTGGTCTGACAAAAGTTAATGAACTTGTACAACAATATATCTCTTGACTTTTCTCCTTTTGGATACAACAGCCGAACTGAATTGTTATATGACTCAAACAAGGGTTGGTCTTGAGATTTTTGAGGCCCGAGGGAACACCAAATAATGTGCCCTAACTTCATAGAAGAAAAATTATTTGTTTTCACACGTAAGACTTCGCTAAAACTATACTTAGAAAAACACTTCAAACTCAATAATTTAGAAACATGTAAAAACCAATATGTTTTGTATTGAGAGAAGGGAATGAAAAAACCTTGGGGCTTACAAGTAGATAGATGATGAGTTTTTTCTCCCTTCTATTTGACCTGTTATATTATTTTATATAAATCGTGAGGTGTTTTTTTTTCTTATTTACATACCTTGTCAATAGGGGACTTAAAAAAATCATCATATTTTCGAGTCTTTAATTGATATGTATAAGCAATGAATGAGCACAAAATTAAACCTAGTATCAGTAAAGACTTACATACATTTATTTATTGAAGGCTAATGCTAGGGAGATCAAAATTTTAAATCAAATTTTGTAAATCCTATGATGTTGTTAATGATTGAATTATTACTTAAGTGTTGATTAATGAATTATTACTTAAATGTTGATTAACATACTTTTTCTATAGGTGACAAGTCATATGGTTTGAAATTTGATATACTTAGCATTACTCTATATTGAAGGTTAAACTTGAAAGAATGTCCAAATATTGCAACCCACATAGGTGCTAACTTGTAATTATAATTGAATAGGAGCTAAAGCAAAATTAACAACCAAACAGAAATTTGTAAAAATTGACAAAAAAAAAAAAAAGAAAAAAAAAGAAAAAAAAAACCCACACACACACACATACACACATAGCATTTTGAACCCAGGACCTCTTCATTTAATTTTATATAGTAGAAATAGTTAAACTTCCTGATCGTTTGACAAAATTTCTTAAATTTATACTCTTATGGAAAGAAATTCATAAAAATTGGAAAGTAATAAATCACACATAGATTTTCGAACACGAGACCTCCTTTTTAATTTTAAGGAGCAGAAATCACACCATCTTGTTAAACTTCTTGAGCATTTAACCAAATTTTATAGATTTATACCCTTATGAAAAAAATATATATGAATATACTGCCCTAATATTTTTTATGCCCTCGATTTTTTGACGCCCAGACGATTGTCTTGCTAGCACTAGGCCATGATGACCCTGCTCAAACTTATCTTCACAAAAAGGAAGATTTCAAAGCCCCACCACAAAGACACTCTTCTTTGGCCAATAAGTAAAAAGGAAATGATTGAGGAAAGAAGAATAATAGTTGTAGACGAAAGCCCAATTCTCATATAAAGCGACACCACTCTCACACTTATACAGGCAAAATCTGTCAAGGATGCTGCTGTAATTATAAGATCCAACTCCAAACAAGCTACAGATTTTATTAAGAGTTTAAATAAACTCAACCTCCAAAAATATTACAGGATAAATCCACTTACCTCTTAGTCTTTTAGTTAGGTGGATTTTGCTCCTCTAGGGTAACTTTTTCAAACTTAACATTTATAGAAGCTTCTGATATGGATGGGGCTTTGAGAGAGTTCACATAAGCTTTGTGTTGTCTTTGGACCATTCTAATTATAGATGCCCTTATCTCTTTGTTTGGTTTCCCATCCTATCAGTAGAACCTTTTGTTGGAGCAATAAAAGAAAATATGAAAATAACACAAGAATCCAATGATAATAATCATAAAGAAAATCACAACATCAATTATGTATGAGATTAACATAAACAACTAGGGAAAAAGTTAGAAATATTGACAAACTGGTGATTGAGGCTTGCATAAATGTAAAGATAGAATTTTGCCCCTACTCTTGTGCTTGTAGTTTGGTAGACGTCCATCTCCCAGGATTCAACAATCTATAATCTGAAGTTGAAGTACTTCAATCTTTAGACTCTGGTAAACTTTATATATTATGTAGTCTCAAAACATGACTCGGAGTTTGACAAACAAAGAATAAGAAAAACAGAGTAGGGAACCCTATTTCTTGAGAAAGATTAATTCTCTTTTCTTCTTCCCTTAATGCCAATGGTTTCATGGATTTATATAGAATCCAAGTACTGTTTATTAAAGAAATAACTTTTCATTAAGTACATCATTTATCAAGAGAATGTATCTAAACAACATAACTTTTTTAAGAAATACGATTAACACTATTTTTCATTCAATTATTAAAATTATATATTACATCATAAAGTATTTAATTTCCAACAATCCCCCACATGAATAAAAAATTAGAATAATTTGAGAGTACTTGCAGACAAGAGATGCATCGGGGGAGGTGTCATTTGTACTTGAACCTATCCTAATGAATACTTATCAAATTTACTTTGGGACCCAGTGGATATGGAAGATCTTGTACTGTTCACCACAGTAGTAAACTGAGACAATAAGCAACACACATCACTAATCCTACTAAATTACAGTTCATACGGTTGTGTTCATTTTGGTCCTGAACAAGTTCTGAATTCATGAAAGCTTTAGAGAATTTAGCCATCTCATTCTCATAGAAGCGACCCACTTCTACTCTCACATAGTTGACCATTGATTAAGAATACTCTGCAATATTCCTCTTATTTATAAGATATTAGTGTGATAAGCTAATATCTTTACATATTTTATTTCAAATTCACTTGTCTTTTCTTAGTTAGTTCCTTGTATTTTTGAGCTATTTACTTTGTTTTTGTGTTTTGTATGATTTGTCAAGCAATGAAAAGAAAATTAGCACAAGTGGGA